ACCAAATAAATAAATAAATAAATAAATAAATAAACAAACAAAGAAATAAAATAAAATAAAATAAAATAAAATAAAATAAAATAAAATAAAATAAAATATGTGTATACCCACATATATTATACGACACAGAGAAAAGACACAGTCTAGTTCGGATGTATGCATGTATATGGCAACAAAATGAATCTTGGAATTTACCAGATAGGTGGCATAGGGAGCAGAGCTATTAGAGAATCTGGCAGTCCTGCTACAGTTTTTATTTATTTATTTTAATTTATTTATTATTTGTCAAGCAGGTGTAAGATAACAGTTATAAGTATAAACATGATTTTGAATACATGAAATGGATACGAATAAATGGGGATATTAGGACAGGGACGGTAGGCACATTGGTTATGCCCGCCCCTTACAGAACTCTTAGGAATGGGGTGAGGTCAACAGTAGACAGTCTAAGGTTAAAATTTTGGGGGTTTGGGGAAGAAACCAGTGAGTCAGGTAGAGCATTCCAGGCCTTGACCACTCTGTTGCTGAAATCGTATTTTCTGCAATTGAGTTTGGAGCGGTTTACTTTAAGTTTGTATCTATTGTGTGCTCATGTATTGTTGCGGTTGAAGCTGAAGTAGTCATTGACAGGTAGGACCTTGTAGCATACAAATTTATGCACTATGCTTAGATCAGATCGAAGGCAACGTAGTTCCAAGTTGTCTAAGCCCAAAATTTCAAGCCTGGTGGCATAAGTATTCTGTTGCGAGCAGAGGAGTGGAGGACTCTTCTCGTGAAATATCTCTGGACTCGCTCAATTGTTTTAATGTCCGATATGCAGTGCAGTTCCAGATGAACTGTATTTGAGAATTGGTCTGGCAAAGGTTTTGTATGCTCCAGATAGATACTTTGAAATAGCAACAGAAACAGACTGTGAAGTGGGCGTGCAGGGTCTCTAACAATGCTTTTAGCTTTAAGCACACAGCGCTTATAGGCCATATCCTAAATGACAGTAAGCGAGCTTCCTATAATCTTCTCAGCTGCCCTCACAATATAGCTAGGTAAAGCCAAACAGGAAACATACCAGATGAGCTAATTTTTACTTTGTTGTAAAAGCTACCTTAATGGAATCTTGCAAGTCTGTAAATATGATTCTTCCACCGTTCCCTTTATAGCCTGAGAAGGTAGGACTGAGACTCGTTTTGCCGACTACCCAGCTGCAGGCTATGCTGTATCTTATTTGATTGTTCCCTAGGTGTCCAACTTTGGCAACTTTTAAGACTTGTGGTCTAAAAGTTGTGAAATTCTAGGAGTTGGTCCACAAGTTTTAAAGTTGCCAAATTTGGAGATCTCTGCCCTAGGCAGCACCGCGTGGTGGTTAGAATGCAGTACTGCAAGCTACTTCGGCTGACTTCTGCTGACTGCCGGTTGACCCAGCCTTCCATTCTTCTGAGGCAGTGGTGGGTCCCTACCGGTTCGGACCGGTTTGACCGAACCGCTAGTGGTTTGGTGGCAGCGTACCAAACCGGCAGTAATGCCGGCAGCAACCCACCCCTGTTCTGAGGTCAGTAAAATGAGGAGCCAGACTGTTGGGAGAAGATGATAACTCTGTAAACCACTTAGAGAGGGCTGTAAAGCACTGTGAAGCGGAATACACCATATTTTTGGAGTATAAGATGCACCTTTTTCCCCCAAAAAGAGAGAGAAAATCTGGGTGCATCTTATACT